AATTTAGATATGAACTTTGCCTCCAAGCTTCTCAAAGACATTGCAATTATCTTGAGCTTTGACAAGTCAACTTGATCCCTTATGTGCATGTGCATGGTAAACCTCTTATGTGCCTCATTAGCCTTGATAAATCACACCATTTAGAAACCCATTCAGGTCTGAAATTTAATTCTCCTTAGCTCCCCCATGTGCCAAACCAAGTCTTGAACTAAAGCGTCTTTCATACAAAGTATCACTTTGAGTTATGTCTTTATTTATCACACTTATTCACCTAAATCACAATTAAATCAAATAATCAAATAATCATAGTGTAATATTTATTTAATTAGAATGAGATAAAAAAATATTTAATTTATCTAAGGTATTAAAATGACTAAAGGAAAAGAGCCTTACAACACACAAGTGTAGACAAGCACACGCTTAAACCAAAATCAAAGGGAGACAATCTTAAAATGTTGTCTTTTCCTAATAACTCTTAACCTAAGATGAATCAATAAAAACTAATTAGATTAGTCATATTATCTCATTAAAAGACATAAACCTCTGGACTAATCCTAATTTGGTGAGAAAGTATATTTTATGACCAAATTACCCCTAATGTATATATTTGAATACTTAGGTAAAATTGCACTAAGAATGTGATATCAATGTGTATGGAGACTCTTAACATATAGAAATGGTCCTAAAACTAACACACACATAAAATTTCTAATTTTCCCTTGAATTCCCAACAAAGTGCAAAATGACCAAAATACCCCTAATATGTACACTTTCTCATTAGGCTTAAAACCCTAATTTAACACCAAGAATGTATATTTAGGGTTTCGTATCATGAAATGTGATCCTAAATTCCTAAGAAAAGTATGTAACAAATATAACCTATCAAAATTCCCCCATACTAATCTTTTACACTTTAGATAAAATTAAATTAAGATAATACTTCACCTCACAATTCCCAAAGACCTAAAAACTAAAGAAGAAAAACACAAATGAAATGCCAAGGAAAATCAAATCAAAAGTCAAGAAATTTCTTTATATAAACAAATGAAATACTGTTGCCCTAATCAAAGAACCTTATCCCTCTTAAATAAACCATTATAGTAATACAAAGTCATAGATAAAACCTCACAAGGGTATAGTGTTTGCTCTTAATCCACTCAAGTGTTTAAACTTATATCATTTTACTCTATATACAATAGCAAAGCACCCTATCATTTCCTTGTAACTCTACCTCTCCACTACTAATTTTTGCAAATGTTATCAAGAATCAGTTAGTCTTTATTATGGATGTAATGTGGTTAACAAAAGGATAAACTTGGATTTGCATGTGAAAGGGTAGGGTTTTGGCTCAAGAAACCATGCCTTAGCCATAATGTAAGCATGCAAGAATGTTCAAAACTTTCCAAACCTTAATTAAATGGATAAAAACTCAAGTGGAAAATGAAAATGAAAGGGATATGAAAGAACAAGGAACAAAGTAATAAGAAGGCTTGTAACTCAAGAAATCCTTACATTCTTACTTGACTTTTAATTTTTCATTCCCTTTATTTTCTTCTCTCAATTTTCTTTATTTATTTTTATTTTTTTCCTTTTTGGCACCTTCTTTTCTTTCCTTTCCTTTGCTCTTTCTTCTTTTTTCTATTTCTTTTTTTCCATTCTTTTTTCTTTATAAATTCTTCTTTTTCTTGCAATTCTTTTCCATTTTTTTTATCTCATACAAAAGTTATGAAATGTATTGGGTTCAAGGATAAGAGTCACATAAAACAAAGACTTGTTCCTTTAAGAAGATAGAATAGATGTGAGAAAATAATGAAAGAATGAGTTTATCTACTAAGTTAAACCAAGAAAAATTAAAGACATTGACAAACACTATAAAATAAAGTACATGCAATCCATGGAAAAACAAAGGGATAGTGTTAAAAAAAATGAATGAAACAAAAGAAAGGCTCAAATTGGCTAATAAGGGATAATCAATAACATTAGGGTTAGCTAAAAAGCCTTGTGCTTTTTATACGAATGTCAAAATCATCTTCTTTACAACAAATGTAATGATATAGCATTGATTAAGAGGAAAGACAAGTTCTAAAGGGTGCAAGTACTAAAGACAAAACTCTCATTGGTTGAAGGCTCCTTCCATATTGGCTAATTTTGCTTTTCTAATCAAATGCATACACTCTAATAGACAACTTGCTTCACGAAGTAGAAAAATTAAGGCAACATCATCTCAAAAGTTCACATTCCAAAATCTCAAGACAATATTTTTAATTCCCTAAGACAAATCAAAACAGAATTTTTATAAATTTCTAAAATTATTTCAAAATGAAAGAAAAAGAAAACCAATTTTTATGCTCTTCTCCCACACTTAAACCATGCATTGTCCTCAATGTACATCCAAATTTGTCCTAGGACACTAAGTCCATAAATGAATGCATGAAAACTGCAACAGAAAAATTTTTTGGGAGCAAATAAGGTCATAGGACTGAAAATACCAAAATTGTAACAATTCTAGAAATCTTGTAAGCGTCTCTCTAGGGACAATGTGTAACATCCTGAAATTTTAAGGCTCAAATTTATTTTAAAAAATAAAGCAAAATATCTATAATTAAATTAAAATTAAGAATAATTTGATAGAGGTCTAGAGTTTGAATTTTTCTAAGCAAGAGTTGGGTTTTATTTTATTTTTAACTATGAAAAAGATTACCAAAGTTGACCCAGGCTTTTATGCTATAATAAAAAAATGTTAGGCCCTTTCTTGTAATTTTTTCCAAAGTCTTATATTAATTTTTTAAAGAGAAAATGAACACAGAAATAGAAATGAAAACACAAAGGAAAGAAACAAATGCATGAAAGAGAGAGAGAGAGGAAGAAGAGAGGAGAAAGAGATGGAGTTAGGCTTGGATCTAGAAAGCTTTATGTAACATCCTAAAACTTCAAATATGAAAAAATGGATTAATTAAGGGATAAATTAGTTAAAAATATGATTAATTTATTTAATTATGTTTTTAGGTGGCTAATTGGATTTTTGGGTCATATTTGGCTTTAAATTGAGATAGGATGAAAGTCGAATCAAGTCGGGAGGCATCAAGGGGAGCAAAATCAAGTTGTTACTCGCTGCACCATGAGCCACAGCTTGCATGGCGTGTGCAGCAGCGCACGGCACAACAGGCAACTTAAATTTTTGGGAATCATTAGAAATTGATAGATTTTGGGGTGGAAAACTTAGAGCACAAAGGGGAAACTTTGGGTACTACTAGGGCATCAATTTGGAAGGATTTTGAAGATTATTTGAGTCTCCAAACTCTTAGGTAAGTTTCCTACCCTTCTCTACCTTTTCATCTCATTTTCCACAGGATTTAGAAGAGTAAGAATTTGGTCTGATTAGATTAAGCCATTAGTCAATGTTTTGAAGGTTTCTATTGATTCTAAAGGTTTAATTTAAGTTTATTGATCTTAGATTTATGGTAATAGAAAGCTATTTTCTTGTTTGGTGAATTTTGGATCAAGCCCCAACTTGATCATAGGGTGTTGAAGTGTGATAAGTTGAGATATTAAGTTTTATGTTGTGATAGAGTTAGAAAGAGACTTGAAGGGATGATGTGAACAAATTCTAATCTTGACAAGTCTATTTGTTGAGAATTTGAGTGAGAAGTGGGAGAATTGGGAGGTTATTATTAGCTAATAGTGCTTGTGTTAATTGAAAATTAACATATAGTACTTGTTGATGTAGATTATGGTGTGGGAAGACTTACCTTGACACAAGAAGAAATTTAGTACCACGGGTAACCCTTTTAGTAACAAAAGGGTTGAGATAATTAGATAATTTACATTGTTTATTACCTTGTATAAGTTATTTTCAAGTGCTTTTCTATGATTGTTGAGTATATATGTATAAATTCTTTAAAGGTTAACTATTTTAGAAAAAATGAGTATTGGTTTATAAAATTCTATATTTTTGAAGTAAATGGTAAGATTTTGTTATATTTATTTGGAAAGCTGTTTATGCATAGTCAAGTGGAGATATGTAGTGAATTCTGGCATCTTAGAGGGTAGGAGGTCACCCTAGTAGAGATAGTGAAAATTAAGTCCATATGGCATTGCTGGCACTTCAGGACGCCAGGTACAACATTTACTCTCCTTAGTACCTGAAAATGGGTGAGGTGTTGGAGACTTCCTATCTTTAGTACCCAACAGGGTGCGAAGTTGGAGATTATACTCCTTAGCATTTGTAGGATGCGGTGTTGGAGTAACGACACTCCAATTACTTGTAATAGGGGAAACAATAGTCCAGAAGTGGTTTAGGACACCCTGGTCAAGTAGTCCTACCATGGATGGTGAGCTTGACTATACATGTGGTTTGGTTCTATAAAATAGCCTACTAGTTCGGTCGGGAGTATTAGAGGATTGGATGGTTAGGGATCATTCATGCAAATTTGTGGTGATATTATATGATGTGATTATGTCACTTATTTTAATGCTTGTTTATAACTTGGCTTGTTAATCAATAATGTAGATTATTCTAGTTATTGAGATTTTTATCTCACCCCGTGGATTATCATTTTATAGGTGCTACCAGTGAGACTGAGCCAGGGAGGGAATCGAGTAGGGTCTAGCATATCTGCTACATTCTTAGTAATGCCCGATTTTGATTTAAGTGGTGTACATAAACTTGTTATATGATATTATATGTTACCAACTAGGAATGCATATTATTTTGATTAGTTGCACTTGTTTCATACTATGTTATTGTGTATTTTAGTCTAACATTGTATATGAGGTAAATATGTGGTAATTTTTATGTTGATGGGCTAAAATGCTAATACAAGTGCAAGGAATGTTTTATCTATGTGGTGACAATATATTTGTAGTGTATTATGTGGCAATAGAGGCCAAATAGCATATATGATGTTGATTTGGTATTTTCGCCATATTAGGCAAAATGGCCATTGAGTGGCTAAATTTTGTATTTGGTATGCTTTTGTGTATTTGATTGGTCACTCAAGTGTATTTTGATCTATTGGACTTGGTTCAAGTTTCACAATGGATTAATGGTATTAGTTATGAGTTTTGGGTACTTGGACGGTTGAAAATTTCTTTAAAAAACTAACTTTTACATCTGAGTATTTAAAGTTCTCATATAGTGTCGGATTGAAATAAAACTTATACCATTAGTTAGCTTATTGAATAAGCTTCACGTGGGCACTTGAATCACTCTAATCGAACATCGGACGTGAAAATGGCGTGTGTTCGAAGTTCATCCAAAAAAGCTATCATGACTGCATTGCTGTCATGGACAGGTGCGCTGCGGTGCATGGTATAGCGAGAAAATTTAACATTCTGTGCCACATGCTGCAGTGCACGAACCACGAGCCGCGGCGCATGGACTAAAACACTCAAAAATAACATTTTTGGCCCTGTTTTGAAGTGGTTTGCTTCCCAAAACTTTTCCATGCTTCCAAAGCCTATACAAATCATTAAGTTTGAGCTCAAACTATCAATTTAAAGGGTTTTTATGGGATCCCAATTATTCCACAATTATTTTTAAAAGATTATTAATTTAAACCCTTATATGGATAATGTGAGCTTCTTGCTCCTAAGTTATAATTGTTTGTTGTGATTGTATAGTGAATTTTGATAATGTCGTGGTGGACATTATACTTTATGACCGTTGAGAGCTCAGCTACACGATAGGTAAACTTTCTACTTCAATCCTCTTCCTTCCCTCTTGATTTTCTTCAATTTTTGAAAGAGGTAAATTTTGGATTTTAATCCCAAGGGCTTTATTCTTGTAAGCTTTAGTTTCCTTGGGTCCTTTGAAGGTTGTTTTGAGTTTCTACATGATGCCTTAATGTTTCGAGCAGGTAATTGGATGAAAAATGGAGTTTTAAGGCAAAAGTTAAATCCCAAGAGGTTGGGTTTTGCTCCTCAATGGTTAAGCCTACTGATTTAGTTATAATTTTGCTATTTGAGCCCAATAAGATTTAAATTAAGGTTTGGTTTTTATTATAAGGGCTAATGGTGAAAGTTGGTGACACTAAGTGAAAGTTTTTAATTGATTAAAAATTATATGAATTGGAAATTGGCCTAGTGGTGGCTAATAAATAGTTTTGGTAGTTAAGTGGTATTATGTGAATGGTTGGTTTAATATATGGACCATTGGGATGGATTATGGTTCATTGACCCAAGATATGTGGTATGAGTTATAGTCTTCTTATATGTTATTTGCCATGAAAAGTGATGTGGATCACTTATATATTGTAGGGAATTGTTGGTGGAACTTATTGTGAAGTTAAGGAACAAGCTAAGTCTTATTTTGTACAAGGAAAACCCTTTTAATACCAAAGGGTTGAGGTAACAGGAGAATTTATATTTCTTATTGCTTTGTTTAGCTATTTTTAAGTAGATAATATTATCTAGCATGCATTACATGTTTTAAATAATTGAATGCAAATAAAATGTGTTTTAGAGGGTTTATGGGGTATTGCTTTAATAATAATGCAACAATGTTTACTATCTATTTAATAATGATGTTACTTATGGAAATAAGGTCATTGGCATGCATTGTGATCATAAAAAATGAGGAGTTGCACTTAGAGAAGTGCAACTAGGCTTGTACCTTAGATAGGCTATGGAACCGCTTAAGGGATGAATTATGAGTGTTATACTACCTTGAGTGTTGAAGTGGTCAATACTTGAGAAAGGTAGAAAAAGGGTAGGAGGCATGATCTCGGTGGGAGTTCACTAATGGAGAGATGTAGTCTTATGATATTCTATGGCTCACTATTAGTACTCAGTGTTGCCTTTCGTATTGTGGGCTCTGTACACTAAAGTAGTTAGTAGATTGAGTGTTTGACACCTCTCAGTGGGAGAGAGAATCTGGCATATGAAGTGTGAGATTGAGTGCATAGGCCAAGGTAGCCCTCATATAGAGAGTAAGTCAGGCTGGCTCTGGGAGGGAGTTAGCTTTGACTACTTAGGATTCATGTCGAAGGGGCACAGACAGTTCAGTGGATCAGACCATGCCTTAGTTTATATGTTGTGCCTGTAGAAGTACAGTGGGTATAAGGTTTACTTACAAGCTAAAGAGTACCAAGGGGCATTCTATTAGTCAAGAAAGGCTATATCGGCCTATCTCATGCATTCAAGCATTTTAATTAGTTAATTATATGTTATTTTGAATCTATTATTTATTTACTTGACCATGGCTTTCCTTATAATAAGGAATATCGATTTCTCTATTACTGAGACTGTGGTTGTCTCACCTCTTTCTTTACAATATTTACAGGTCCAGGCGAAGGATTCATTGGTGGATGGGGAAAGGAGCTAAGCTAGGGGTTTTCTTGTAATTTGTAAAGAACTGCAACCCCTTTCTTTTAAGCAAGTACATTGTAATATATTTAGGATTAGGGTACCAATAGGATGTGATTATATATATGTGTGTGAATATGTGTGAATCGTATACCTTTATATGAATTTTTATCTGCTTGTAGACTTGTGATTAGGAAACTTGGTTATGGTGTGTGGTTTTGATGAATTTATTTAGCAGATGAAGTTTCTACTACAAGCAGACATTTATTTTGATATATATGTGATTCTATAAGTAAATGCAAAGTGGTTGCATTGCAAATGGTGTGCTATAGGCAAACATACACTTTGGATAGAGAGAGTGGGTGCGTGGACCCTATGGGGAGCTCTAAGCCGAGTGAAAATGTTTAGCATGTGTATTTATACAAATACATGGTATTTGGATTATTTTTGACCACTCTTGTATGATTCATGCATTTTGGGGGTTTAGGGTCCATTTTGGAAATGGCACCCAGGTGGTCAAATTTTAATGTATGGGTGTTTCCATCATTTGAATGTTCTATTAGGTACTTTTAGTTTTATTTGACGCATCCAAAGTGTTCCCACAAGTTTGTAACCTTTAGGATGGGATTTGGACAATTTTAAAAATGGTTTTTACTAAATAACTGTACTTTTGCATCCGAGTGTCCAAATCTCAATCCAACCATTGAATTTCTCTAAAATTTGGGTCACAAGTAAAAAATTTATAAAATTCTTGTGGGATTTGGAATCACGTCGATGATAGCAACATGATTGATATTGGGACATGCACGAATTTTAATCCAACGGTTAGATCTTCTTGAAATTTAGTACACTTGTAGTACCCTTTGAATGTAATGTGTGGGCTCTAGAATCGCTCTGATCGGAAATCGGATGATGAAATGATGCACTCTAAAAATTAGTCCAGAGGTACTGTCATGACAGCTAAAAAGCTATTGTAACAACAAAAATAAACAAACTTGTAACTTGTCCAATTTTTAATCTAATTGTTAAATCTTCTTGAAATGTGGTGTACTACTAGTAATCATTAGAAATGATATGTAAACTTTAAAATCACTTTGATAGGAGGTCGAATGGTCGAACAGTGCCTTCCGAAAGTTGGCTCGAGAGGGCTGTCATGATAGCAATTTAATGCTGTCATGATAACATATTCTTACCTTGCTTTCGCCTAACTTGCTTCCGTGTGCTATAGATACAACCTATAAATTTTTTTAAAGACTTTAAATGTTCATTTTGTGATGATGTATTTGTTTATTGATTTAAATGATTTATTTCCTAAGTTGGTTTTAGGATCAACTCCTTAACTACACTTAGTTTATTTGAATTGTGTGATTTTTAGATAACACTCGGGACAAGTGTTACACAGTGAACTTGTGAATTTTATAATAGTAAATCCACATGAGACATTCCCATGAAAATTTTATCAGAGATATCAAAGACATGTAAGAAAATTATATAAAATGTTTAGTTCAAATTTCCTTCCCAATTCTTCCTAGAATTTTTTAAAAAATGGTCCACAGTTTTGGAGAAACAGAAATCCATCTAGAGGACCTTATAAGACTCCAATAAATTTTTCAACAAGATGAAGACAAAATAGGAGAAAATGATAAAAGGAAGAAATAGAGACAAGACAATAAGGAGAAATCAAAGACTAGAACCAAGCAATTTAGACACACAATGTGAAAGATATGCTGACTCAAAGTTATAATAAGGTTTCAGGATCCTGTGTAAAGGCTCCTTGGACTTTGTTAGCTTGTAAAAATTACATAGAGAAGTCCTTATGTCCAAAATTGACCAAATAAGTTGTAATATGAAGCCAAAACATGTAGCTTTCAAATGAAATAAATTCCAAGTCAAAGCTCTTTCAGATTTGTTCCCAATGAATTTTTAAAATTAAGACAAAGAAACTAAAAACATAGAATTGTCAAGCTCTATAAGATGCAAAAATTTTTGACTTAAGGTTATTATTACCCTAACAAAATAATATTAAGCTACACTAATATAGTACTAGTGTAAACCTAGGTTGATCTCTATAAGAAGGCTTAGTTGAAAATTTAGGTTTAAAGTGTGTTACAAGTTAAGGGTGGTTTGGGACAACTTTAAACTCAAAACTAATTAAGCTAATTAACCTAATTAACCTAATTTTAAAGTGAATAAAATGGGTGATTACTAACCTATTAGAAGTAGGAACTCCTATGTGGATTTGGTCACCTATCCTTGTTTGATTATGACCTAGCTAGTATGGTTTTCCTTCTCTTCTCCTTAGTTTTAGTAACTTAGTTATATTAACCAAGACTTACCTAATCTTTTAACTAACTCTAATCCATAATTATGGTCTTAGACTGTGCCAAAACCTAGCTAGCATTAAGCCCAACCAAAGTGTTACTAACATGAGTTAATTAAATCAAGCACATGTGTAGGAATCAACATGCTCTAGATTATTATTTATGAAGATATTCACATGCATTCAAGTTGACAAGATTATGACAAGTAAGAAAACATATTAAACTCATCAAGATAACCAAAATTATGAATTAAATTTGAAGGGGCTGAAATTCATGAACAAGACATAATAAAACTCAAGTTGCAGCAAGCTTCTTTTAATCAAATAAATCATCACTTGAGATTACAAGATTAAAAAGTCATACAAATTTGTAATTCTTGAGAGAGAAAGGTAGAAAGAAGAAATTCAAATTCAACTAAAAAATAGTACAAACTCAAGATTTCCTTCTCCACATAGTAACTCCTTCAAGAATATAGCCTTGCATCTTTAAGTGATGAATAAGATGAGCCCCAACATTATGGTCTTCTTCACCATGATTTCGCCCAAAGAAAGCTTGATTTGATCCTTGAGAAAGCTATTAGGTTATGTGGATGAAGAAAAGAGGAAGAGAATGATAGTGGTTTTGTGAAATTTAGATGGTTAGATTGAGAGATATGGAGGAGAGAGAGTGGAAATGTAGAGAGAGAAGTGAGAGGATTTGATGAACTTAAAGTTTAAAATATGAAAATATGAGTGAATGATATGAAAAATTCATATAAACCTAGTTAATAAGTGTTATTGGATGAAAATATGATGGTGACCTACTAAACAAGTTGCCACAAAACTCAAAACAAGTCATTGGTCAAGTAAGGTTAAGGATAGTCGAAGTTGCAAATCAACTTAGGTGATAATTCCAATGTTGCTTGTCTAATCCCATATGTGCATGGACATGATAAGCTTTATGTTGCCTTAATTGCCTTGGAATTCACTCCTAATGCCATTCAAATTCAAATATGAACTTTTCCTCAAAACTTCTCAAAGATATTGCAATTATCTTGAGTTTTGACAAATTAACTTGATCCCTTGTGTGCATGTGCATGGTAAACCTCTTGTGTGTCTCATTAGTCTTGATAAATCACACAATTTTGAAGCCCATTCAGGTTTGAATTTTTGTGCCTCCTTAACTCCCCCACATGCTAAACCAAGCCTTGAACTAAGGTCTCTTTCATGTAAAGTGTTACTTTGAGTTATGTCTTTATTTGTCACACTTATTCACCTAAATCACAATTGAATCAAATAATCAAATAATCATAGTGTGACATTTATTTAATTAGAATAATATATGAAATATTTAATTCATTCAAGGTATTAAAATGATTAAAGGAAAAGAGCCTCACAAGATACAAGTGTAGACAAGAACATACTTAAACCAAAATCAAAAGCTAATTAGAAACCCTTAAGGAGACAACCTTAGAATGTTGTCTTTTCTTAATAAATATCAATCTAGGATGAATCAATAAAAACTAATTAGACCAATCATCTTAATTCATCAAAAGACATAAATCTCAAGCTTAACCCTAATTTGGTGAAAAAGTACATTTTATAACCAAATTACCCTTAATGCTTGTATTTGAACACTTAAGCAAAATTACACTAAGAATGCGATACAAATACATATGGAGACTCTTAACATATAGAAATGGTCCTAAGTAGCTAATGATCCTAAAACTAATACACACATAAAATTCTTAATTTACCCGTAAATTCCCAACAAAGTGCAAAATGACCAAAATACTCCTAATATGCATACTTTCTCATTAGCACTTAAAACCCTAATTTAATACCAATAATGCACATTTTAAGGTTTCTTATCATGAAATGTAGTCCTAAATGCCTAAGAAAAATGTGTAAAAAAGTGGCTTTTTTATGTTCTTCACTCCTATGCGTCCAATAACTATAATCTCTTCTCGAGTATTCTAATGGTCTAAACTACTTGAGACTATAATAGGACTTTATTTAAATTAGTAGGTAATGATGGAAGTGCATTTAACCTTAATTCCATCAAATTCTTAGTCATTTGCACTATGTTCATGTGAAAACAACTCTCAGTTAATTTATAAGCCATAAATGTATTGTCTACTTTTTTGAGAATTATCTTTGTGAGTGCCTAAATTGTTCCTATTATCTCATTGAGTGAGAATTATCAAGGAAACACTTTCCATTGATTTATAAGTAAATCAAGGGCTATTATCTCTTGAGTTGTTGCAAAGACGATATTTTCTCTGTGAAGGTGAAATTAGTAAGGAGAGATTTTTTTGCTATTAAGAGAGGCATTCTTTAAGGTTAAGAGACTCTCAAGTGTTGAGAGATACTTGTAAATGGTTCATAAGTGCCCTAACAAACTTGTGGATTATATTGAGGTGGCAACCACACCTTTAAACTTGTGGATATATTGAAAAATATCAAAGGTGATCTTAAAGATTGGATGTAAGCCATGTGATTTGGCTGAACCAAGATAAATTCTTTGTATAGTATTTCTATCCCTTAATTCTTTATGTTCAACATATTCATATCTCTTTCATGGTTCTTCAACTTAAAATTGTGAAAGCTGTGTATATGCCCAAGTTGTTTTTGCTTTCACTATTTCAAACTTGATTGTGAAAATATTTATCAAGCTTTCCTATTCAAGATTTTTAGGAAATATTCTTGCAACTAAAATATTTGAGTTTTAAACTCACTTATTTCATTCTAAACTTCTTGTTACTCCTTCTAACTATGTCAAAGTTTGTAAGAATCTTTGTTTAATCAAAAATTTTCTAAACACCAAATTCACCACCTTATTAGGTGTTGCTTGATCTTACACTTAATGTGCTGAATTTTCTCAAGAATCCATGTAGCAAATGGTATTAAAAAACATCATACAATAATGATTATTTTAACGCCACACAAATTTATTCAAACCAAGAAGACTACACCACAGTGGCTA